CCTCGGCGGCGCAGCGCGAGGCGGCCGGGCGCCCTGGGCCGGGGCCCGCGCACGGAGCCACAGCGGCACAAGCTGATGAGCGCGGCGAAGGCCACGGCCGCGTAGGTGGCCGCGTAGTAGGCAGCCCCGGCCGCGCGGCAGGCGGCCTCGGGGAAGGGCCAGTGGGCCGGGCCCAGGTAGTAGGTGAGCCAGAGCGGCAGCGTGAGCGTGAAGAGCACGTCGGCCAGGGCCAGGTTGAGCAGGTAGAGCCGCAGGGCCTGACCCAGGCGCCTGCCGCTGCGGACGAACACCGCCAGGGCGGCCACGTTGGCCGGAAGCCCCAGGCCCAGAGCTATGGCGTAGGCCGCGGGCACCGCGATGAAGCGAGCAGGGTCATCCCAGGGGCTGCAGCCGCGGACACCCGGGTCCCCAACACTGCCGTTCATCTCAGACCTCGGACTAGGGAGAGGAAGAGAGATCAGTGCGGAGGCTAGCCACAGAACAGTCCTCCATACCACCTTCCTTCAAACCCAGCCTCCTCTTCCTCAGTCCTTGCCGGGAGAAGAGCCTAGAAGCAAGGAAGTCCATGTGGGCGAGGATGAAGACTGAGCTGAGCCGGCACCCCCGGGGCTGGAGAACAGGGGTTGAACTCCAGAGTCATTTGAAGTAGGATGGGCTTGCTGACAAGCTGCGGGGAAATGAGAAGAGGCAGGAGTCCCAGATAGCTTGGAAATTTCCAACCTTGGTGACTGAGAGGGTGGGAGCGCCCCTCACAGATGGAGTAGGGTTCAGATAATGTGGAGGCACAGGCATGTGCAGTAAGCCCAAGCAAGGCTGAGCCAACAGAGAGTTCTGGAGAAACCAGACTGGAATATAGAGTTCTTCCCAGAAGAAGCCCAGTCGTCCCTCATCCACGAACCGTGGATGGAGGAACAGGCTTATGATGCGGTGACCCTGAGGACAGGGCCCTGCATAGAGACCTTGGACTTGGGGAGCGAAGGTCCTCTCCAGGGGCTTGCTTGGAGCCCCTAGGGCAGGGCGGAAAAGGTCTCACAACTCTCAGGCTTTCCAGCCTATTTCCTTCCCCTGCACCCGGATCTGACCACAAAGAAGTCCTGGGTCTGAGTCAAAACTCTGGACAGCAAAGAGAAAAAGAGCACAGGCCCAGGAATCAGGCCGATTCTAGATACACACATTTATTTGCCATGTGACCCTGGGCAAATTACTCCGCCTCACTGAGCCAGGCTTCTCTGCTGTAAAATGGAGATTCAAATACCTACCTCGCAGGGTTGTTGGGAGGATTATGAGGAAACATAAGTAAAACTCTGAGCACTGTGGCTGACACTGGGGAGACACTTCATAACCATTAGCTTTCTTCCCCTCCAGGCAGCACACAGATGAATGTGCACACCACCCACACAGGCACCGGCAGCAAACAAAACAGTGCAGAGACATCTGGGCGTGTTCCTCTTCTTTCCCCAAGGGGGGTAAGTGCACAAGCCAATGTCCTGTTCCTATTTTTGGCATCGTCACCCTCCTAGGGTGTCCCAAAACTTAGTTCCTCCAATACCAAAATCCGTACCTGTGCCTTTGAACCTCTGAGGCTGCAGTCCTTTGCGGGGGGCCCGGAGTGTATTCTCTTCTCCCCTGCCTCTCGGCTCTGTCTGCTCTGTCTGCTACGGCTCTAGCCCCCAACTGGCCCGCCCTGAACCTCTCCCTGCCATCCCACCAGATCACTCCTCTCTTACCTCTTGCTGTTCTGGCTGCTGCAGCAATCTCTGGGGCTCTGGGGGCCTGGCTTTAAGGAGCTGAGACGGAGCAGAATCCACTCCCACCCACACATCTCAGACCCTCCCATCAGCCGACTAATCCCAGGACACCACGTGAAGAATGGGCCCAACAGCTGGAGGGGCTGGGGCCCACCTGTGGTAGCTATGAGCTGGGTTTGTGGGGTACAGCCAGGGCCCCAAGGGAAGGGAATGTCTTTGAGGGCAAAGGGGCACAGGGAGGAGAGAAAGGTCTAAGGAAGGCCTTGCAGCTGAATGTCATGGTGCTCCAGGGTGCGGTGTGGGGGGCACATTTCCCTGAGGCCTGGCTTCTCCTGGGGCTGAGGAGGCAATGCTGGAGCTCAGGATACTCCTGCTGCTGTCAATCCCAGCTGCTCCACACCAGCTGGCCCACCCGCTCCTCCAGCACGCTGCCTCGGCCACAGCTGCTGGGCGGGCCCTACAGCCAAGCCTGGGGGCCCCGAAGCTGCCCAAACTGTGGCACACAGGAGCCCTCGCTCTAATACCAGCTGGGCGAGGTTTTCCTCACAGTCCTGGCTGGAGACCAGCTGGCGTCGCATCCTGGAAGGAGTGGTAAGAGGCCAGGATCCCAGAGGCTCCAGGTTCTACTTTCTTGGGCTTCAAAATTTTCATGCAGAGGGGCAATTCTGGAAAGCAAGGCAGATTTAATCACAGTGGACAGATCATCCCATTTACTTTGTTGAAGAGAGCAGGGGTGTCATCCCTGCCCACTTTCGACTTGGGCAGCTGGTGCGGTGGAAAGTGTGGGTTCTGGAGTCAATCAGGCCTTAATTCTAGTCTCAGCTCTGACAGGTAGGCACTTAAGCCTTCTGAACGCGTTTTCTCATCTGTAGAACAAACTGCTATTTAATAACAAATGCTATTTAATAATAGCATTTACTGAGCACTTATTATGTGCCAGGCAGCACCGTAAGCCCTTTAGCTCACTAAGTTCTCCCAGCAACTCTATGAAGTATTTACTATTATTATCCATATTTTGCAAATAAGCTAGTGAATGGCAGGAATTTACCCCCTCCGTTCTTTGCCGACCAGGGTGCGCAAACCTTAACTAGTTTAAGTCCATTCTCCTTGCCAGTGGTGGGTCTAGGAATAGAAATGGGACATAATCCTGGCCAGTGGGATGTGAGGGGAAATCTGGGGGTCTTTTAAGAGAGCTTTCCTCTCTTTTTTTCACCTATGGACGTTATGTGCAAATGTGCTGTCGGGAGCTGCTGCAACTATTTTGCAACACCGAGGGCAGGAGCCAATAAATTAAAAGCAGCAGAGCAGAAAGTTGAGAGATCATCAGTCTTTGATGTCATTGCAAAGCAGCCAAATTACCCAACCTGGACACTGAAGGTATGTTAGCTCTGGACCTCTGGGAAAGAAGAGGCTTCCTGATTATTTGACACTCTATGTGGTGAATGTACACTACTACATTTTTTATATGTACTTTACAGATATGGCTTATCTTTCTGTACTACTAAATGTACCAGTGTGTGTGTGCACATACACACACACTAGATTGCATCACTGTGCTTTCAGACACAAGAAAAGACCTAAGGGTGCCAACTTGCCTGAGGTTCCCAGTTCATCCATGTCAGAGCAGAAATTACCATTCTGGAGTTCAGATGAAATGCACTAATGTGCACAGACTCCTTTCATTTCTGTGGGCTCCCAAAAGCCATTGTCCCTACCCCCAAAGTGACCCGTAGGCAGGTGACTAGAGTACTTGCATAAATAAACCAACTCTTTTCCTATCTCATTATGGGAGGCATATCACTTTCCACAAGGCCTTACTGAGGTGAAGATAGTTGATGACAGTAAGGACTCTAACATGGTCATTTTCCCTCAATAATTCACACACGCACACCCGGTTCTGAGTCCCTAGGATCTCTGGGATTCATCCCAGGCTCCCAGCACTGCTTTACCATGCAGCGTCCCTTGGAGCTGGCTGTCCTCTGCCTCCATGTAGATATCCAGGAAGCACCACCATGGGTGCCCTACCTCACTACCAAAGGTGGCAGTTTCAGAGCCTGGAAAATGATGATCCTGTGCCCATCTTTGTTAGCTCTGCACATCTAACGTGCACAAGGTAAAAGAATAGGAAGGAATATCTCATGTGGCTTGGAAGAACCCGGGCAGAAGCAGGTACCTAGACTCTGCCATACTCAATGTGTAAATTTTAAGTATTTCATAAAAATTTTAAAAATGTGAGTGCCTTTTGAAGCAGCATCCTCACTTCTAGGGAAAGACAGGAAGTATGCAAAGGTGATTTACTATGAAGTTTACAACAGCAAAATGGGAGGCAATCTAGGGTGCCTGGGTGGCTCAATCCATTGAGCGTCCAACTCTTTTTGGGTTTTTTTTGGCTTTTTTTTAAAGATTTATTTGTCAGAGAGAGAGCACAAGCAGGGGGAACAGTAGAGGCAGAGGGAGAAGCGGGCTCCCTGCTTAGCAGGGAGCCCGATGCGGGACTCGATCCCAGGACCCTGGGATCATGACCTGAGCTGAAGGCAGATGCATTAATGGACTGAGCCACCCAGGCATCCCACATCCGACTCTTGATTTCAGCTCAGGTAGTGATCTCAGGGTCGTGCTCTCAGGGTCATGAGATCAAGCCCCATGTTGGGCTCCTTGCTGGGGATGGAGCCTGCTTAAGATTCTCTCTCTCCCTCTCCCTCTGCCCCTCCCCACCCTCTCTCCTCACTTCTAGGGAAAGACAATAAGTATGCAAAGGTGATTTACTGTGAAGTGTACAATAGCAAAACACTGGGGACAATCTAAATGTTCCTCAGTGGGGGCTTGAATAAATACATTACAGTACATCCTTATGATGGAATACTATACAGCCATTAACATCAATGAGGTAAAACAGACATGGAATGGTCTTACAGTGTAGGAGTTTTTAAAAGTAGGTAATAATTTATATTGTCTCATTTTCATTAAGAAATATCTCTATAAAGGCATAGAAAAAGTTGAATGGTACAGTTATTAAAAGGAATTAATAGTTATTTTGGTGCATTAAAATTTGGGGTGATTTAAGTTGCTTTTCTGTTTATTTTCTACTTTCACACGACATGAGGAATGTTAGTATGTTTAACACGTATCCCTCAAAAAAGAGCAGTAAATGTCCATGATATGTCCAGATAGAAAGCAGGGTCAGGTAGATAAGATGTCTACTTCAACACGGGCCAACCCTGGATGTACTGGTAACAAGCCGGGAGACTGTGTGTTCCACCATGTTCCTGCCGTGACAGTGACATGGCATGAAGAGGCAAGAGGCCCTCGACTCCCAGGATTCCTTGAATGCACTTGGAAGAGTCTTCTTCCTGGTGGGCCTGACCACCTCCTTTGGACTCAGAGATGGCAGATATCCAGAAGCTGCAGAAGCCCCAGGCATATGATAGGTGGGATGTAGGTGTTCAGCGACTCTTTCAGAGATGCCAAAGTGAAGATAGCGCCTGGAATGGAAAGTGAGGTCCCTCAGGCTCCCTGACCCACTCCAGCTCAAGCCCTCCCATTCAACACCTCCCTACCACACACACACACCCTATACTAGCTGCACTCATCTCTCTGGCCTCCAGAAGAGAACAGAACCAAGAATCAGAAGCCCCCTGAACTAATGTAGCCACCCTCAGAGGGTGAGAAAGAAATAGGAACAAGCCTGCCGAATAGAAGAGGGAGGTGGGTAGATGGGCATTTTGGTGGGCCTTTTGCTCCTTCTCCCTTCTTTTTTTTTTTTTTTAAAGATTTTTTTTTTATTTATTTATTCATGAGAGACAGAGAGAGAGAGAGAGAAGCAGAGGGAGAAGCAGGCTCCCAAGGAGC